AGCCAAAATGATGAAGAGTCCGTGAAAGGACTACGGCTTGGTCATTAGACGCCTCCGTGAATAACAACAAATCGTCGGCGAACATTAAGAACCGGACCTTTACCGCCCCTCTCCTGACGGATATCGGTCTCCACTCGTGCGCCTCCACCGATGCGCAAATTAATTGTGCCAGCCTATCCATACACAAGACAAATAGATAAGGTGATATGGGGTCCCCTTGACGCACCCCTCGTGTAGGCGAAAACTCTTCACATATACAACCATTTCACAACAAATTCATCGACGTCGAGCGAACACACGCCATTACAGCGGCAACGAACTTTGCAGGATAACCAGCTAAGCGAAGGGTTTCCTCGACAAAGTACCACCGTAGGTAGTCATAGGCCTTCTCCAGGTCTACCTTAACCACCATGAAGCCACGCTGACCTCTCTTTCCCCTCATAGAGTGAATAAGCTCTTATGCCACGATGATGTTGTCAGTAATATGCCTGCCAGGAACAAAACTAGCCTGGGCCGGATGGACTAGTCCTGGTAAGGTGCTTTTCATACGATTGACTAAGACTTTAGTAAAAATCTTGTAGACCACGTTAAGTAGGCTGATGGGGCAGAACTGTTTAATAGTAGTCACATTCTTCACTTTAGGGATCAGAACAAGTAAAGTACGGTTCACCCAGGAAGGAACAACACCACTAGCCCATAACTGCCGAATAAATGCGCAAACCGCCGGCCCGACAATATCCCAATTTTTCTGATAAAAGAGTGCATTTAATCCATCCAAGCCCGGAGCCTTAAGAGGGCCCATGCTCTTCAACGCACACCCAATCTCCTCAGTCGCGATGTTGTCTGACATGGCACGAAATTCAGAAATCCCACAATCGTGTGACGGTGGATCCCGAGACCGACTAGGCACATGTGTGGTCCCCTCAGTATAAATGCCCTCAAAATACTCCTTAGCTAGGCGCTGTAGGTCGGCCTGGTCAGTAACTCGATCGCCATTCTCATCAATCAACTCGGTGATCCGGCTTCTCCGTCGGCGATGTTTGACCTGGCGGTGATAGTAAGAGGTATTTCGGTCCCCCAAAAAGGTCCAATCTCTCGTGGCCTTCTGAATCATAAGAAGATCCTCATGTCGGATGACCTCTGCTAGTTCCGTACGAATTTGGGCTTCGAGCCTCACCAGACGACTCGTACAGTAGTAGCGACAACATCGCTGGATTATTCGAAGACGAGCCAACAAACACTTTTTTCGACGAAAAATATTCCCAAAGACTGTGGTATTCCACCTCTTGGCTTGCGTGATAAACTTGTCCGCGGCTTCTTCAAAATTAGTAGTTGATCCCAAAGAAGTTTGAAGTAAGTCCGTGAAGCCGGGATGGAGAAGCCAAGCAGCTAAAAAACGAAACAGTTTAACCCCATTAGGCGGTGGACTATAACTTCCGAAAGTGAGGCTAAGAGGGGAATGGTCAGAAAGTATCCTTAGTAAAAGGCGAACCCGACTACTGTCATATTTTTCTAACCAAGGAATATTGGCCACAAATCTATCCAGCTTCTCAGCTAGCCTGCCTTGACGAGACTCCCGCACCCAAGTGAATAAATGGCCATCGGTGGCCACCTCTTGGAGACTATGATTAAAGATCCACGCGGCGAAATCTTGACTGACATTACAAAAGTTCGCAGATCCTCCGATTTTTTCAGAACGACGAAGAAGACAATTAAAGTCCCCCCCAATAATCCAGGGGTCCGAGATGCCCTCCGCTAGGCGATCCAGATCCGCCCACAACGTACTCCGCCCTGCCGCTTGCGGGCTAGCATAAACGAAAGTGACCAGACCCTCCTCATCTGCCTTACGAGCCTTGACGTGAATGAATTGGCGGGAAAAGAGCAGAACGTCGAGTCTGACCTCGTCGGTCTAAAGAAGCCATATACCTCCTGAGAATCCGTTAGCCTCCACACGGAAGGAGTTGCCAAGCCGACTACTTCGAACGAACGCATCTGCTTTTCTCCCTCCAATCCGTGGTTCAAACAATGCAACAATATCAGGCTTGTACTGTTGTCGAAGGGTGGTAAAAACTCCCCGAAAGTCAGGCGAGCCCGCCCCTTGAACGTTCCAAGTAATTATATTCATGGGGAACAAACAAAGGGAGCAGTAAGGGATCAGGAGTTAGCACTCGAGAGGAGGGACACTAGTGTCTAGACCCCCATCCACGCCCATATGATCATCATCGTCCCCAGTCGCGCTGCCTTGTGGGGGGCCTTCCTCTGGCCATGGTTCCTGCCTCATAATATTTTGCTCGCCATCTTGCATGATGGCTTCCCCCTCAGAAGGATGTGTTGGTTTATCGACTAGCTGAACGGCCCGATGTTTTGTTGTGTCCAACCCAGCTCCTATGGAGACATTCCATGCACCCGGCTCGTATATGCTCTGGTTAGATCCTACCAACTGAGTCGGTTCGGGGACACTCGAGGGCTTGTAGTTTCGTGATTGGATTGGATTTCCCTCCTTACCTGTTGCGGTTCTCCTCACTGGACCAGCCCCTGAACTCGAGTTTCCCACTATTGACTTGCCCGTGTTCCTCGCCGTCCCAGCCCCCGAATTCGAGTTTCCCACTATTGACTTGCCCGTGTTCCTTCGGCGGCCCGACACTGTTCGCCAATCCTTCTCGCCACGATCACCAACATTATTCATGTGCTGTACCACCGGAGGGCCCCCAAATACGAAGTCAGTGTTACTTTCATCCAACTGATCATGGCAAAAAATGTTAAATCTAGAACCGGCGCCATGGGTCATCGCATTGTTCGAGGCATGCTCATTGTGTTGTTTTCCCCAATCTTGTCTAGGGTACGACCGGCGTGCCCTTTGTGGCACTTGGATCCACGGACCATAAATTGGCTCTTCTTTTATAGGGGTCTTCTGACCAGCCCCACTCGTACACCCGGTGTCTTTCTCTGTACTTCCAGATTGACCCTCCGGGTGGCTTTCCGCTGATTTGGGACTAGGGGTGTACAAACACCCATGGATCGAATGACCTATCCGTCCACATTGGAAACAAATTGTTGGCAAGCTTTCGTAAATCACCCGTTGAGTCCGTCCATTAAGAGTGAACTGGACACACAAAGGTTTGGTGAGATCAACCAGTACGGCCAAACGAGCATATTTTCCTCGTGTAAAGGATGCGGTTTGCTGGTCAATTTTGACCACCTTACCTACAATTTGGCCAATCTTCCGAAAGACTTTCTGAGATAAAGATGTGCCGGCATCCCTGGTAGGAGAATCCAGGCCACTTTCGAAGTGAGATCCGCATTCATTGCATCAAAATTAAGAGACTAGGGTTGGACGTGCATGTAACTGCTGCCCACTTCATAGGGGCCTCCAGTTGTAACTTGGACCGCATCATCAATTGTATTGAAATGAATCAGGTAGAACCCGTTCTCAAGGTCCATCATGGTACACCCCACCATACTCGGCCACATCTTGGTAAGACGATTGTACAAGGATGCCATGGTTAGGGAATCATCAAACGGTTTAACAACCACCACATTCCTCCATTCATTGTCTATCTGATCAAAGAATCGCTGCGTGATCTTAACTGCCGGCATAAGGCTAGAAAAATCCACCACAACATCCTCCTCGCCATCCTTTTCCACTTCTTCCTCATCATAGTTTACTACGACATGAGGTCGATTTTTGTTTACCATATCATGGAAGGTCATCCTGGGAGGAGCTTGATTCGGGATGCCAAGGGGCGGTGGTTGACGACTCGGGGAAGCCGTCTGATTCAGATTTTCCATAGGTTCTCCAGCCCGTTTTAGGGTTTTAGTTCTCTTCGTGGCTTGGAGCGTGGATCGATCCAATGGTGGGTATTCTTCAGAGTTCCTCTGTGATCGGGAGTTGTCGCCAGGATCAAAGGTAGTCCGGTCATCGGAAAGGGAGGAGTGAGGGGGAGTCGGGAGAATTGCTTCAGACATTAGGGCTTGGTAGAGTTAATATATATATATATATATATATATATATATATTTTGTGGATAGATGGGGTAATTAACTTTGTTATTATTGTAATACAATAGTTTTATATATAGATTATAGTCTTAATTAATATATTGATGAATAAACAATAAGAATTAATTTTTTGAATTGTTTTTTTAATGTATATAAATAATGGATTATGTTTTTTTATTCAAAATGACATTTGCATCCTAATACTCAATTAGGTTATAATTATTTTTATAACTTATGTTATTTAATATTTTTAATCAATATTGTATTATACTAAGTTCAATATGTACACTTATTTTAACTCAAAAATTTTAATTTTATTATTTTGTAATAAGAATTCATAGATAGTTTTTTTTAATTAGGCAGTTTAATTATTTACTATTTTATATATACAATATGGATATCAAATTGAATACCGTAAAATGTAATTATATATATAGGATAAATTGCATTTTTGGTACCCAAATTAAAGTTCATTTCGAAATCAGTACTTATTTTTAAACATTTGTGAAACTAATACCTAAACTTTTATTCCATTAGCAACGTTAGTACGCCGCCATTAATTGTCCGTCAAAAAGCCGGTTAATTGTAACCGTTAGTTGTGAAAATTGAGGGAAAAGAGTTTGTTTTTTGCGTCAGATGTAGTCTATATATATATAAGCCAAATGTACCCATATGGTCTCATCAAAAAATTGCAGCTTTCCCAAAAAAATTAGAAAAATTTGAATAAAATTCAAAAAAAAAAAAAAGAATGGCACGTAGGTGACGTCTAGGCGTGACTACGTTGTTTTGACGGTAAAGTTGACTTTATTTTAGTAAAATTAGAATAATAAACAAGAAGTTAACTATATAAATATAATTTATATTATATTAATTGTTTTTTAAAAAAAAAAAACTATATAAATATTCATCAAGTGTTGTCCTGATTGGGTGTCCATTAATCTTCCCACCCACTCACATTTCTCTGTCTCTTCTTCTCAGCTCATCCTCTCTGCTTCTCTCAACAATGGATGTCAGCGTGGTTTTTGGAGTCCTAGGTTTAATTCTCACATTTTTTTTTTTCAACCTTGTCTTTCTCTAATCCTTATTTATTCCGATCTCATATTCTTCATTTTCATTTTCTTAACTTTTGTTGTTCCTTTGATGCAGGCAACATCGTTGCATCTCTGCTATTCCTCTCACCGGCGTGAGTAAATTACCTATCATTTGTTCTTAATTTATGTTAAATTCGCAGGTTTGTTTCCATATGTTACAAACATGGGGCACTTAGACATGGGGAGTGTTTTTTTCTGCTCATTTCTTGAGGGAAAATTTGGGAAGTATTATCAATTTGAAATAATTATATTGTTTAATGACTAATATGGGGAATATTTTGTGTAATCGCACCCAATTACGTAAGTAGGTGTGCGGAGATGCTGCAGTCCTGTTACGGAACCATTCTGGTGGGGTTTGTAACCGTTAGATTTTCATGTGATCGTCGGGGATAGTTGATCTAACGGGTTATAAACCCCCACAGATTGGTTTTGTAACGGGACTGTAGCATTTCTCAATAGGTGTGCTGTATTTATCAATTCCAAAAAAAAAAAAAAAGTTGGTAATTGTTATCGTTGTATGTGTTAGAGATACTTTCTGGAGGATACTGAAAAATCGATCGACCGAGGACTTTGAAAGCATTCCATACACAGTGCTGCTCTTGAATGCATCTCTATGGATTTACTATGGAATCATGAAACCAGTTGTGCTTCTTGTGACCATCAATGGATTTGGGGCCGTCATGATGATTATTTATCTCACCATATTTGTAACATATGCTCCTCCTAGAATGAAGGTATGTTTTTATTATTATTATTATTATCCGGTTGATTTTTGTTATCTTTAACTTATCGTGAAAGAATATGGAACATTGATGACTCGAGTATGAATCAATAATGAATTTGAGGAGTGTGGTTGTTTACAATTTCGGAATTTGCAGTTAATGTGAAAGTGGAACTGATAAAATTACGTCGGGAAGTAGTTTTCTCGATCACAGACTCTAGTGTGAAGTAGCCTAACGTTTAAACAAGTTGATTTGTCATACTTCTTGAAAATTTCGTACTTTTATTTATGTTCTTAAAGTACGACATTTTCGTGTAAAAGTATGCAATTTATTAAAAATATGATTGAAAAAAAACATAATTATGTGTTTTCAGGTGAGGACTGTGGCTACCTTTGTGGTAATGAATGTCGGTTTTTATGCGAGTGTAATTTTGGTGACTAAGTTGACCATGAATAAGGATGCTCGAATCAGTACCGCTGGCACACTCTGTGTTTGCGTTACTGTAATTTCTTTTGCCTCTCCTTTGTCTGCTATGGTATGGAGAAACTTGTCTGTTAATTTCTCATTATCTTTAATTAAAGCTTAAAAAGAAAAATATTCAAACTTCTTCCTTAATTTTCATTTTCTCACTATTTTTTTTTTTTTGGTAGAGAACAGTGGTGATGACCAAGAGTGTGGAGTTCATGCCGTTCTTCCTCACGTTTTTCTATTTCCTTGTTGCTACCATATGGAGCATTTACGGGATATTACTTCACGATACTTTCATTTTGGTAAGTACATGCGACTAAGTTCACAACCTCATGAGAATCGCGAATGTTCTTGCTCGATTCATTCACACACTTAAGTTTGTAAAGCTCGAATAGCTAATCTAACTTGTTTATTGAATAAAAAAAAAAACTTGTTTATTGAATAAGTCGAGCCAAAGTTAGTAAAGCTCGAATAGCTAATCCAACTTTAAAGTTGGTATACTTCTTTATAAACGGTCTGATGAACCAAGCCAAGCTGAGCAATATCGAACTTACACGAGCCTGAGTTGAGATTTTTCAATGGGGATGCAATTAATAAATCCGTTGAAAATTTCATATTTGTAACAAAGTTGTAAGATTTATGATTCTAACGAAACTTAACATGAAATACATGTTGTTGTTGTTGTTCTTTACCCACAGATACCAAATGGAATAGGGTTCGCACTTGGAGTAGCCCAACTTGTGCTATACGCTTCGTACAGAAAACCGAGCCCATCAAAGGCTGTAAATGGTGGTAACTTGGAAGAGGGTGATCAACATCAACACCTCATTGTAAACTATGTATAGTTTTGAGTATAATATTTTGAATGAATTGGCCATTTGTGCTATAGATCTATCTTTATTTTATCCTCAAAGCATGGGACTGCGGTTAATGTGAAAATCCTTGTGTTCTTTAAAAGGTTATATGCTTCAAATTTTTAAAGGTTTTCTGACAAATTGTTGCAATAAGCTTGCAGGTTGCTTGTTAGAACGTTGAGTGAACATGTAAGCTGAGGATCCAATGCCTACTTATCACAAGATAAGTCCATTGCACTTGCATAGGGCCAAAATTCTAGGCCATCATCTTTAAGACCTTGCTAGGCCAAATTTCCACTTGTATAAATAGAAACATGTCCACGAAAACTCTCAATATAAACTAAATAAATCACCAAAAAAAGGGTATATTTAGGGTGTTAATATTCACTAACCCCGTATTACTACGTATCGCCCCCTTGGATCATTTTTAGTCATTTTTCAAAAAATTTCGGAAATTGTAAAATCTTCTTTACTGGGCGATAATGTCGTTTGACAAGGTGCGATTTTTTATCGGCCGACCAGCGTTTGCGGCTGCGCTCGATCGCGGCCGGCCGACTATGTAGGTTGTGGACAAAATCTTTTTTACTAGGCGATAATGTCGTCCGATAAGGTGCGATTTTTTGTCGGCCGACCAGCGTTTGCGGCTGCGTTCGGTCGCGGCCGGCCGACTATGTAGGTTGTGGACATTGGTCGCCGTTATCTGCGGCCGGCCATGACCTTACTTAGCCCTACATATTCTGCCGGCCAGATCAGACGCGACTGCAATTGCCGACCGGCAGACGGTGTTTCAGCCAATTAATTTTTTTTGAGTTAGTTAATTTTATTTATGAAATTAATAATATAGATTAAAATTGATTATTTTATGAATTAGAATTTATTATTATATGTTAGAAGTTAGAAATCATTATGTCGCTAGAGCTGTATTCGGGTTAGGTTCCTATTCGTGTGGGCGGTCGTCTCTGGGTGTTGTGTTCGTGCCTTCGTAGATTGTTACCGGTTGGGAGAAAGGTTTATTTTAGTATTGCATGTTTGTATTTTGTTTTTGTGTTGTTGGAGTGTTGTTGGTGTGTTGTTTGATTCTTCTCTTTGCAGGGGCGGATCTAGCTCATAATATAAGTAGGGGTCTACTTGTTTCTTAAAAAAAAATATTACTTTATAACAAAGTATAAATACAAAAACACACATTCATAGAAATTCTTATGAGTTTTCATATTTTCGTACGACTCTACAATGAGGTCTTTAAAGTTTCTTTCGGCTTAACGTTAATATTACGATTCACTCGAGGTATATTTGGACTAAAAGTTTAAAAGTAACTAATTTGAATATTTTCACATGCGCTTTTTTGTCAAAACTGTTTATAAAAATATTTCTCCATAATTTGATATATATATATATATATATATATATATAAATTATAATGTATAAAATGTTTTGTCTAATATATCAAACTTTTAAGAGCACTACAAGTTATCAATCACACGAAAATTTAATATGTTAATTCTTTAAGAAACAACATTCAATTAAATACCATATTAAACTTTAAAATATCATATCAAATCAAATCTAATAAAAAAGGACTAGAATTATTTTCAAAAAAATTAATAAAAACGATCATTTTTTTTCCCATAACATTTTTTTTTACAATGTGGGCTAGACCCGCACTTTAGCTATGCCTCTTCTTTTTGTAAGTTTGATTATCTCATTGTGAGAATGCATTGTTTGTTGTGTTGTGGGTGAGTTAATGTCGCTAATATTAGGATGCACTTATGTGTGTAGTCCTCAATTCAGCTTGATGGTCGCTTGAATTATTCTGTGATGAACGGCGAAGAAGATGATCAGAAGTCGCCGACGGTCGAGGAGAAAAAGGAAAAGGCTGTGTCTTTAGGGTTTGGGTTTTGAGTGTTCCTGAATTGGGGAATTTACTTGTTAGAGTTTAATATTGTTATTTGGGCTATGTTTTGGGCTTTATTTACTTAGTTGTATGGAACTATTGTAAGCATGTTAAGTTGGGCCGGTTAGGGTTAATTTGTTAGCCCAACTTATTATCTCTATTTGTAGTTTGAAGGAATGAAAGTAAAGGCATGAAAAATGTCATTTTCCCTAACTAATTTCTCTCTCCTCTCTCCTTCTCTCTCTACACGTTTTCTCTCATCTGTTTCTTCTTCTCCAATCTACTCAATCCCAAGCTAAAATTACAGTGAAATATTATAAGAAAATACAAAAATATATCAGCCCACTACAATTGGTACTCAGAGCTCTCGATCCTTGGAGAATGGCCGAAAACACACGATTGAAGGATCTGCAGGAAAATCAGAAAAGATTAGATCAATTCATACACACCGAATCCATGAAAAGAGAAGCAGTGGAGGTTAAATTGCATGAACAAATGATGGGAATGGGATCTGAATTGCAGGAAAAGATCTCGAGCATCAACAATGAGTTACAACAACAACTGGGCAACTTAGACATCAAATATGATCATGTATCTAATGCGCTTGCAGCCATACAACTTCAGCTACTGAACTTGAGCAAAAGTAAAGAAGGCCGAGGAGAGGAATCTATCTTGGGAACCCCCCCTTTGCAGCAATCTACTGGTGGGAGGCCACCATTTAAACAACCTCAGATGAACAGGATACCTCTGCAGTTGGAAAATCCTGCACCAAATAACTTTCTCAGCCCTTTACCCAAGGTAGATTTTCCTAAATTTGATGGTACA